GCCGAGCCTCATTTTTTTGGCCTAGCTTTTGCTAGGCTCGGGACCCACAAAAGCTCAGACCTATTTTATTCGAGCTCTTTGAGTTTCGACTCGTTGACATAGTTAACCTAACATATGTAGATATTATTGAGGAGTAGGGAAAGAGAATGGGACAGTGTTGCATTATCATCCTTGCCTTGTCGATGGCGAGTCGGGGAGGAAATTTAAAAAAAAAAAAAATCCATCGTCCCTTTTGAATTATTATTTATTTTTAATAATATTAATACAGTTTAACTGAATACCATATGCATTAAATATTAATAAAAACAAATTAGGACGAGTTAAGAAAATCCATGACGAGAATCATTTTTCTTGGATTTGGTACGTTCGAATGCTTGTTATGTGACTTCGTAAGTGTGAAAAAAAGGGGGTCTATGAAAAAAAAAAATCGTGAACCCCCTATTGTGAGGAGACTATGCACTAGGGTGTTAATTTCGATGTATAAATAAACTTTTTTTTTAATCTAATGATTGTATGTTTTTGCATGCCTAGTTTTTGAACATCCTATGTTTTGTCGGACGACTTGCATGGTTTTAAGATTTGTTTGTCAAAAGATTTTTTTATAAATTATTTTTACCTACTCATTTTATGAAATTCATAATTTATTTTTTTCAAAAAATTCTATTCTATTGACTTTAGCCCCTGCTTAGTGCACATTTTTGCTCCAAAAATGCACTTTTTTGGTTGATATGATGGGAAATATATGGTNAAGTGCATATAGCCCTATTAAGAGGGTGTTTGATAGATATTATTGAGGAAAGAATATATTTTAAATAGTGATATGATGGAAAATATGTGGTTAAAAAGTAAGGAAAAATTATTATTGTGATGAGAAATATTATTTTATTGAAAAACGTGTGATTGAAAATAAATAAAAGAATGAGAATAAAAAAAATAATATAACTCAAACAGGGGACTTCAAAAGAAAAACTGACGTTCAAAAAGTTAGCTAAAAGTTTTTGTTTGAAAATCAAAGTTGAATATTGTGAGCAAAAAAAATTTTTTTATTGGCTTTAATTCTTAATTCAAACTTTACAGTTCAGTGAATTTCGTCGTCGAGTCCAAAGAAATCATGCACTAATTATTTTGAAGTGATAAAAAAGCTACGTTTGTTTGTTTTCCTATTTATTAGTATGGACCATTAGGGCATATCAAATACGTTGATGAAAAAATGAGTCGTTGATGAAAAAAATTAGGGCATATCAAATACGTACTAACACTTTGGATCGTTGATGAAAAAATGAGTCGTTTACTGATATTGAAACCTTAGACTTCGTGTTTAAATGAAAATCAATCTTCATATGAATTTTAAATTATTTCAAGTTCTGAAAAACAAGATTTTAAATGTTACATGTTTTGAGTTTGAAAACTCCGTACAATTTCAAAGATCTCTTGTACTAGAAAGGGTTCTCAAGAAAGACGAACAATTTTTCCTACTGAAGCTTTTCAAAAAAAGATTGGGGAAGGTCAAGATTCGATCAAGAATTGGAGATGTTAAGAGAAAGAGTTTGTGTTATTTAGCACTTGTTTGATGAATGTTTATAAAAGTTGGTGGATCACATGAAATGCGAATTGAAAAAAGTTAATAGTTGTAAAACAACCAATATATTAGAATTGCTCTGATATCAATTGTTGTAAAGCAAATCGCCGGATTGAGATATTGAAGTTATATATCAAATAATAATGAAGTATATGATCAATTAAAAGAATAATAAAGACAAGAATATCACAGAGGAATTAAGAAATTTTATTGACTCAAAAATATTGGAGAAGAGAGAAAAATTAGAATAGATCATATAATTCTAGTAATCTATTTTCTCACACCATAAAATTGTATAGAAGATCCTAATATTTATACAAAACGTGTAGAAGATGTCCAAATCCTTATAGTAGAGTTGTTGATGAAATAAAATACCAAAAAATTGAATCAAAAATAAAT